GACCGCAAAACCGCGCCTTCCATCGACGCCGACGGCGGTCGACTCCACCGGGTGGAGCACGGTGTGCTGACTACCGGCGAACCGGGGCAACAAAACCGGCTCGTAAAAACGTCGTTTCCGTTCGACCTGTTCGCCAAAATGTGCGACGACACCGTATAAAATCTGCGCCGAACGCAATGACGCGAATATAAAAAAAAAACCTGACGAGCCTGATCCAGCAAGATGATCCAGATTAATCCCACAGATATGTGTTTTTGACGTACGTTTAATGTGCAACATATATCAAGCTGAAAATCCCCCAGAAGCCCTCGCGCTGTCGTTTTATTAATCGCAACATTGGCGTTCGACAATACTCTTCTTTTTTTTTTGTTCAACTTCTCGACACTAATGCGTTTCATTTGCTTGTAAATGCGATTACTCGTCGCGAAATGTAGCACTTAATGGTGCAACTCGGAGAACGTTAATTCTTCGCCGTCTGTTTTACGAGTTCTCTCCCGATTTCATTTCTTTTTCAGCGACGAACGGCATCACGTGATCGTCGTTAGCGGCCATAAGTGGTGCATGTAACGATTAAAAATTATGGCGTTCGACGAAGAAACATGTGTTCTCCTTAATTAACGACAACTTTCGCATTAAATTTCAATTAAAAGAAGCGAGCCAATTAAATATAAACTCAGCATTGCGTAAACGCACAAATTTCATTAATAATTGTTAAAGAAGTGATTGATAATTGTAATTGTTGTTAATTGCTTTGTCTTATCAGATGCATTTATCAAAAATTTTTTATCGATTTACTAATTTATATTATCTATAAAATTATATGTACATATATGTATATAATTATTTTATATAAGGTAAACGTACCAGTGACTGAACGTATCTATAGCTGAACAATTCCACACAACAAGCACAAAAATTTATTTTTTAATGATTTTTTTCATAATATTATAATTTAATTGTAATCTTTAAATATTTTTACAATTAAATTTTTATATTATAATAAAAAAAGTACTTGAGATTAATAAAGTTTGTGGTCAGATATAGATACTTTCAGTCACTGGTACGTTTACCTTAGTTATTCAAATTCAGCGCGAATTTAATACTATTGGATAGATTAAATGTCTTTGGATGAAAGTGATAAAACAAATTGTGATAAAAAAAATTAAAAATTTGTTGAATTTTCAATTGTGATTTGTGGCATATGTGCCACAGAGAATATGCATGCGATGCGTATATTACATTCCGACAGTGACAAATAGCGAGAGAGAGATTGGCTATCGCCAATCGCCAATCGACGTCAAAACTTTACTCATAAATTTTGATACGTTCGGTTATCGAAAATCTGTACCGGCATGTACCACACATCTGACGTATTCTATTCTACCATTTGAATGTAAATTGTAAAATTGGTAAAACTGATATATGATAAATTCGACGATCACAAATCACAAATCGAATTTCTCAATGATCAAATTTGCTGCTTTCTTATTAAATTTTCATACTTTATTTTTGATTTGTTTCAAATGTAAGCGGGTCGAAAAATATTTATGTGCTATGCGCATCTCATGATAATAATAATTTACAATATCAACTAATCTTTTTTTTATATTTGAGATACAAACAATATTCTTTGTAAATATTTGAAAAAAAAATAAATTTTAATACGTGATTCGGTCTAATTCAACAGCTTATTTTAAAAAGAAATGGGAAAGTTATTGTTCTATTAACTTTCTATTAAGCGTGAACTGTATAGGTACGCGCGTAAAATTATTACGCGTATCATTATGAAAATTAACTCAGTTATAAATTTTAACAAGAATTTTAATTACATCGTATTTACATGATTAGTTTGCGTTTAAAAAAATATAAATATAACAGTGTGGATTATTTAATTATTCCTGAATTTATCTGAAACGGCCGTGGCTCTTTTGTAAAATAAAATCTGCGACGCCATCAAGTAGCCACGTTCGCAATTAGAGCAACAAATCCAGCACATTTGGCAAATAAAATCCGTCGACGGTCGAGCTGACACGACAGTTTTCAATTAGACTGGTCTCTCTTTAGACGCTACTGACATTTTGGAGAAACGAATAGCTTCCATAAAGACGAAAAGATCCGTTAATTCGCGTTTCTCTGGTTTGCGCGACTCTCATAAAGCCTGCAACTACGAGAAACGTAGAATCGGAAATAGAACCGGGAAGTTAATAATGCCATAGGTGGCATAAAGCTCTGTCATGCAGTTCGCGGAAAGCTTAACCGAGAACAATAAAACTCACCGACGCGCTTATTGTGATTGATGTTTCTTCGACTATATCGCGTGAAGCGCGAATACAAAAGAAAAGAATGTTCTCTTACCTGTTGAATTTTTAGCACGAGTAAACACTACGAAAATCAAGAACTTTCGAATTCGAAAGAATAAAAATTTTTTATTCTTCGATAACTATTTTAATGACAATTTTTTGTTGTTTTCGCTTTTTTTGTCCATGTACAAATATACACGACTAAAATTATTCAACGCTCGAATGCAATTATTTAAATAATATACAGAAGTTTCAACTTAACATGGCATTTTTCAAAGATTTTTCTTTATTTCAAGAACATTTTTGTCTCAATGTCAGTGATGTTTTCGTTGGCTTCTCTGGCCATTTCTCTTGCTTCAAAGATAGATTTAATATACAGGTTTCGAAATATCCTAAGCGTAAAAACCCAATAAAAGTTCTTCCCAATGAAATCTTTAACACTTAGGCAGCCGCAAAAACACCAATTAACGGTAAATGAGATCGTAAAGACTTTCGAAGATGAGCTCTGTGTGTCCGCGTCAACTCATTATCTCGACTATTTCCTTGAACAATTTTTATTTAATCATAACCGCTGCGTGCGTCGGAGGTGCCTTATGTTAACCACAAAACTGCTTTCCATCGCCTGCGGAATCGCCAAGTATGATTGCATCTTGGTCGCAGTCTGAATTCCTTCCTATGGAGTAAGAGATATGAGATATCATTTTGAGAAGAGAGCGAGAATAATTTTTCAAAACATTACGCCTTCGCGAATGAGGATATATCTATATGAGACGTTCGGGATATTTCATCTGCCTATATAATTCCTTCATTTGCGAATGTAATCCGCAATAATATTCAAAAAATTAATGAAAAGTAAAAAATATAATTAGAAATATAAGCATAACTGCTCATAAAGAAATATTATTTAAATTTATTACTTTATTATTAGACTAATGTAAGCATCAATATGTTTAACAATGAGAGCGAGCGTAGTGTGGCAGATAGCGCACTGGTTTGCTCTGCTAAAGATCGCGGATTCGATCCCAGGCAGAGTCAAAATTTATATACGCTCGTTTCTCCTCTCCGTAGGCCTGGCGAGCCAACGAGAGTATTCTATAATAGCTGAAAAATAATCTCTTAGAAAAATTTGCCGTTTGGTCCGTTTGGAACCGGCGTTAAAAATGGTAGGTCCCATATGACGGTGTATAATCTACGCACCACAGTCATATGTGAGAGAATCGGACAACGTCAGGGGTCGACATCGTGCTCCAAACTCCAAGATAAAATCGTACGGCCTACAGGCACGTTCTACAGATGAGCGTGCACGTTTTACTAGAGATGCAAAAGAAAGCTATTGCCATTTTATAAAAAATAAATAAAATGTGAAAGAAATACGTTAGAACTAAAAGCTGAAATAGAAAGCGGAATTCAATTCGTCTTAGGTTTGCTGCAAACGTTTTCGTTAACCCATTCGCTTGCAATTTCAGCTTTTCAGTTCTAAAGTATTTCTTTCACATTTTATTTATTTTTTATAAAATAGCTTTGTTTTCCTTTTCTTTTCTACGTTAAAAAGCAGGACAAATCATGTAACTCCCCTCTACTGTTTTAAGCTGGGAGAGCCTCTTTAAAAAAACTATTAACATTAATATTATTAAATTCATAATTTTGTGACGTAATCACATTATCATTGATATTTCGGTAGGTTGATTTAAACGGATTTATAGGTAAATTGTTATAAATTATTAATTTATTCTATGCACATGTGTATCTATATATGTGTGTATCGTACGTCTATGCGCATTAATTTAATTCAACTTACAATTAAAACGAATATTGCGTCTTGCTAGTATTGCCAATGGTGCTCTGTACGTATCGATTACACGATTGTGGTTAAAATACTATATACATTCGCGTTAATAAGAAGAGAAACGCTAGGCATTCTCGGTTTCAGCCCCGGCTGACGAGTGCGGTGGTAATAATAATTACCGTAATAATCCGCAACGGGTATTCTCGCCCGTTGAAATCCCATTGTCCTTAGAAAACGTTACGGCCGCCACGGGTATTAGCTTACGCCGACGACGAAGTCTCGGAAGGTCGCGGTTTGCGAATAGCTTACCTTCCTTTTATTACCAAGATCAGCGCGAAGCCCTTTACAATGGTGCGGTTGAGATATTGGTGAATATAGAGTGTACATAATATCTCGAGGGTCATATCAAATATCGCGGGTGGGTGAGAACTTGAGCCTTAGGGAGGGAGGCTTTCCTTGGATCACAGCGTTTCTTAATGCCACGGCAAAAAAAAATTAAGACAAGAAACACTCCACGGTTTATTATTGTGCTCTTTTTATATTGCATTTACAGGTATATTCAATAATCATAAAAGTACGAGATAGTGCTGAATCAAATTACTGCGAGACAGAAAGCACGATTGTATGGAGGAGAAGATGAAATAAATCTTATCGTCTTGTAATAGTCTCCGTATTGCTTTTAAGAATATTTAAATTATTATTTCTTTAACTTATAGACTTTTCGTTAATATATGTTCCAACGTCTTTTTCCGCGCGTGTTTCTTTGTTACAATCAAAACTTACGAAGAGAGAAAACTGTGATTTACAAAAATTAATACAAAGCCACAGCCGTTAATTAATACTTTTACAAATTAATACAAAGCAATTGTCAATTAATACTTTTGCTTTAATCTGATCTTAAACAATTGTTTCAGACCGCGTTGCACACCGGTGTTGGCGCCCAGCAGCAGCTACTGGAACCCAGAATGGCACAGTTGGAAACCTTGGAGGCCAAGGTAATGAATAGTCTTCGCATTTAAATTTCGCAATTTTTCTGGAAGAAGGCCCTTGAAAATTGGGGTGTTTGTCGCGAAACTATTATACTGCGAAGATATTCCGGTCGTGCGCCGAAGTGAAATGGCGCGCGAGAATTCACGCGATAGGAAGTCATCCCGCGTCAGCCTCATGGCCCTCCTGGATCTCGATATTATCCTCCCCCCCTTTTTTTGCCTTTCTCCCCCGTGCCCGGCGGCGGTGCGCCAACCGTCCTGTGGGAGCTGTTTTTAGTGCAGGGTACCCTCGGAAGAAAACCGAAGGCGATGTTTCGCGGTTATTGGCGAGTCGGCATTATAGCCCCGCATGGTTTCTTAAGCCTGTCCGGCCAATGATTTATATGCAGATGCGTGAACCGAACCCCGTTTGGTCCTCCGGACCCGAACTCCCCGGTGACCGGTTGGGGCAGGGAAGAGGGGGAGGGGAGGGGCGACGAAAGGGGGACCAGAGGTCCCCCTTCCGCTCGCATCGGTACCATTAAAAGTGCCCGCGCCGGCCGGCGCGGAAGCGTCCAGTGGCGCAGCATCCGCAAGAACCGCGCCTTCGGATCTTTTTGCCGAGATGCGAGACGCGACGAGAACGTTTTAGATCGAGCGTGCAGCGCTCGCGAGCTCGCTTTTTCGACATAACGACGCTTTTACCCTGTCCCCCTTTTTTTTCTCGTGCGCGTCGTTTAAGCCATCGGATTCCTCGCGCCTGATTGCAGGGAAGGCTGAAATTGAAAATTATGCGGGCCGCGACGCGCTATTACCTCTGCTTCACGACGCTTCCATGCGTTTTTCATAAACTATACGACGGCGGCGCTTTGCGCGAAATGCAGGAAATTTCCTTTATTGGCTCTGCTATAATCGCGGCCGAAAGTAAAAGCGAAGTCTGCAAAAACTCGTTTAAATCAACTGGAACGAACATAGCTAGGGTTGATTAAGAAAAGCTCGAAGTTTCAGGAAAATGCCGTTCTACGAAATTATTTTAAAAAAGTATACCTGTCTTTCTGTCTACCTCCCTTTAAATATTCATTTTCGATGCTTTATCGAGATTTACAAATATAAAAAGTTTTCTTATCGAGATTTGTTATAAATATAAATAACCTTTCAATTAAGCTATTTTTTTCGTTTAAAAACCAATATTTGAGAATTTGAATTTATCTCGATGTCTCCCTTCGTTGTAAATTATCATATCTACGAATATATCTATATGTATCTAAATAGATACGCACGATAAATCAGAGCTATCGCCGGCCGGAGCAAATATTTGACCGCAACAAAATCGGTGCAGCTAATTTACCCGGCGGTACACGACCGCCGCGGAGCACGGGAGGGATTATCGATTGCATTTCCACTTAATAGCAACGTTGCGATGACGGAGCGCCGTAGTCGGCTAATAAATGGCCGCGCTACTTGCAGTTAGACGTAGCCTTAATTACGCCATCGCGAAAGATCGTCGCAACCACACCCCACATCCCCGCCGCCGGGCGATGTTGAAGTACATGTGAAATGATACCACACAAGCTAATTAACATAAGTACAATCGCCTTCCTTCGTGTAATGGGCTCTTAATGCGACGTTATCAATCACGACTCGCTGGCATTCGCTCTACTCCATCATCAAACGACGACGGTATCGTCATTTGATAAAAATGCGATACGATTCGCGGGTGATCCTGGTTGTCTGTCGATGCAACCAGGCCTTCGAATAATTATTCGACTGAAGACAGACGATTTTACGTTCATCGCCTATCCTAGTTGGAAATTTATAATCCCAATGAAGTTTTAATTTATTGAAATGAATAACATATAAAACCCCGCGGGGGCGGGCTCGCCGTGGACTTTTTGCAGAAAATTCCGCGCCAGCGGTTATCAACTGTGTGTTCAAACGAAAGATACGCGCAAACGTAGGAAAGAATAGCAAGTATATTTATCGTCGCAATATTTACTTCTGTTTTCATATTCATCTGTTTGATTGTGGACACAGTTAATATTTGCTTTCGTCGAAAGGATCGGGTTTCTCCTTTCCTTTACGGAAAGGAGATGCAAATGCCTCGCGGGGCTCGACGGGACTCCTCAAGTTCGCATAGCGTACCTACTCCGGGTCCCAATTTACAGGTCTGTCGCGTAGCGCGCATCGCGAGAGGTAGCGTCTGCTCTGTTATTCCGATGCCCGGCTACCCTCTAATCTCGTAGCCTCCGTCGCGTCTTTACTTCGCTTCAACTCCGGAACAGCGAAGTCCCCATTTACACCCGGCTGCACGCACGCTGCACGCTCGCGCGTCCATCCGTATCGGAATAGTATTTTGATAAATGCATATATCCACGCCGGTCATTATTTATCGTCCGCGATTGCCGAGCCCTTCCTCTTGCGACGAGTGGACCCGTCGACCTGGACAACGCAGACACGCCCTCGTACCACCGAGGCGGCTCGATGCCGATCCGGTTTTCCTAACCAGCGTCGTTAAGTTCGCGTTCCTGACCGCGGTGTATCTCCGGCCTGGCTCATTGGTTAACACAAGTTCGATATCGGACGTCTTTAACTTCGGAAATCGCGGAGGGATCACGCTGTACGCGCGCTTGAATGACGGCGCTACATCGCGTCGCCCTCGCGAAGTCGCAACTGCGTCCTTCTATCGCAAATGGAGAACGCGGGCGATCATCGACGATATACGCGAAGGAGGCGGGAAATCACTTGGAAAAATTGGAGAAACTGAATAAAAGGAAAACATATTTTGCCAAGAGAGATGTTTCCTCGTTCGTAATTGGATTGGTTCGCATAAGACATTGCCTCGTGCATCCGTTGCTTAAAACAATAGATTTGTTTTTTTTTTTTTTTTCCGATTGAGACTGAAGTGCAGCCGCGTTCGTAATGCAAACGGGCGTTGTACGTTTCAAAGAAGAAAAGCACTCTCGGTGAGCTTCCAACTTGTTCCATGTGAAACACCGCGATATTTATACGCTCGAGCAGATCCGCACGACGCGGTCGCGTTTTGCTTTCGCGACGCGAGACGGGGCGAGAGAGGCACGAGGATGCCGCGTGCTGGGGGTTCACGATATGAATAATGAAAAAGAACGTCGAGACTTCGAGGAGGTTGGATCGACGTCGGTGGGAAGCATCCCTGCCTGAGTAGATGGGGACGCGCTTTCAAGGCGGTTGATCTCCGGGCGGGTACTCCATGAGGATCTCTCTTATCCGCGCTCCCGCGCGCAACGGAAACGTCTTGAGAAATCCGCTCCAATTTCATTTACGTTGAACGGCACGATCGATTCACCAGGAAAATTGGGGGAAAGGATAATTCTTGGCACGCCCGTGAAGAATTTCTATGAGTGGCAACCTATCGCATGAATATGCATTGCAAATCTTTTAAAACGTGCGGTGAAAAATTTATTTTAATAGATTATTTAATGTCTTACATGTTAATAGAAATGAAAAATATATCATGGTTTTTTCAAATTGTTTATTAGAAATATTTATAACTATATCATAATACTTTTACAAGACGCTAAACATATTTGTGATTTTAGCAAGCAATTGTAGAAATATTATGTCGTACTAGTGATGAGCATTTAAATTTTTCCTTTGAAAGCTGTCAAGCGACTCGATCGTACAAATATTCAAAGTACTTCAAATATTATTCGAAGTCGGAGATATTAAAAACTCTTGAAACTTTTGAACGTCTTAAAGCTCTCAAAAATTTAAAAGATCCTTCCTTAGAAGAAGTTCGAATATCCGAGACACGTTTAAAATATTTAAGGATAGAATTATACGTCTCTATGTATATAAAATAAAAGGTAGAATAATAAAATAATAATGTAAATTATAAAAAGAGGAATGTATTTTTCTTAAAATATTAAAACATAAAAGATTTTTAAGAATTAAAAATTTTGTTGATTTTGGAGAATACTTAAAACAATTTGAAATTTTTGTCATACTCGAAGTTTCAACATGTTTCTCCAGGTTCCATTATTAAACTCGCTTTAAACAATCTGTAATTTACAGATTTTAGAATAGAATCGTATTCACAATTTTATTCAGTTTTTTTTATATATACATGTATATTTTTTAATATTATGTATGTATATTTCTGATTCCTTAAATATTTTTACGTTTTACACATAAAATTATAAAATTCTAACTTGAATTCTGATACAATTTAGGGGTTGTCAGATTGTTTGAATTGGATTAGAAAACGAAATAAGTCTGTGTATGCCTGTGTTCTAAAATTCATTGCCAGTGCTGAAAATCTAACACATACGTAACATTAACTTTAGATTTTCAGGGCTGACGGTGAATTTTATAACAGCCTAAATATACACGAGACATAACGAAAAAAAATAGACAGTCTAAAGATAAACTTATCTCGAATCTTATTTTTCTTGTCGATTTATTCACGTATTTTCATTTTTCTAATATATGTATACCTTGGATATCAAATATGAAATAATATTCCCGAAAAGTTCTGGTTAGGTAATAGAATCCACATACACAGAAATTTTAAATTTCTTACGATCAAATCTGACGGTACTGTGAGCAAGACGCTCTAACCGTTCGTGTCCGTTAATTTGGAAACTCTTCATCGCGAAAAAGAGAAGTTAGGTCACAATACGCCCTTGGACTCAAGGGCCCAGACAGATCTGCCAGGCGAGATTGCGAGTCCCGGGAGTCACTGCCCTTAGCCGTCTGAACGCCGATACTTTCGGCCAAGTTCTACCTGGCCGAAAATCCACCGGTTCGGAATGGTTGCCCCTCGGCAGTTTCTCGCTACCGTCCTTATTTTACATTCTCATCTGGGACGGATAAAAACGGAATAAGAAATTCTTTTTATATACGACGCATCTGATAAAACATAAGAAAAAAATAGCACGTATAAATTCGCACGCAAATGGTTGTGTATTTCTACATTTCTACGTAGAAAATCAAAGTTTTGGCTGAAACAAGATTTCCCACAATAGGAAGTAAAAATTGATCTTTGAAGA